GCGACAGTGTGCAAATGCTCTCAAATCTTGGATTGAGTGCGTGCTGACCGTGAAGGAAAGCGAGGTCCCAAGGTTTCGGGCTTTGTTAGGGAACCATGGAATTTTGCAAATTGCGTCACCTTCTAAAAAGCTAACCAAGCCAGTAGTTGCGTGGCGACTGCCAGTGGTGGCATCACACCAAAATGGAACGTTTCAACATCGCCCTCAGATCTCCCTGAAGCAACACTGCGTTGGTTTTGGCTCTCAGTCAAGAATTTCTTCAGCCTCAAAAAAGCTCGGCACTGGTCATGTATTGGCACAACACCTTTCGTAACGCAGGCCGAATTGCACAAGTTGCTTGACAAAAAAACTTAAAGCTTCAAGCACACTAAGTGCCAAACCCAGTACTGCCACGCGCAGCGGTTAGCTATTGTTTGCAACTTGACGCTTCAAAGGCTTCGAGACTGACTAACTCGAAGGTGCTGTGGAAAGCAAGATTCGCCGGACGCGGCGTTTCGCACGGCAGCTACTTTAACTGAAAAGAAGTTAGCGGCCGAAGCGCAGCCAGCCGCAAACGAAACGGCTTTCGAGTTTCGGATTTGGTTAAACCTTCAACCTTACCAGATTGGCTCAACTGGATGCAATCAGGCCTGAACTGTTTGAACCACGTTCAAGCTGGATCAATTGAACAGGTTGAACTCGAACTGAACTGTTCGAACCGAATGACAAACAAACAGTTGCACTTTACTCCACTCATGCTTCCCTTCTGAGCTTCGAAGTTGTTGGAATCCACAGTTCAATCCAGGGTTAAAACCAGGTTGCAAAACCATGGTAGAAGTTGAGAAATGCTGCTTTCCCTTTTTATTTTATTTTATTTTCAAAAAACGTTCTTGTATGTTGTTCTAAGAAAGATTTTCTTCGTTGTTAAGCCACCAAAAGCATTTTCGTGTGCCTTTTCCTCTCTAACTCTTTTTTTTTCGCTTTCCAGCTCAAAATGTTTTCGTTGGCTTTTTTCTTTTGGCTTTTCTCGTTTTGTGCTTGGAAGATCGTTTTGGTTCTTATTTATCGTTTTGAAGCCCAAAAAGCCGTTTGTGTTTGGAATTATTTTTTCGTTTTTAGCACAGTGTTTTCGTGTGCCTTTCTCCCGCTCTTTTGGGTCTTATTTTTGACACCCAATCGTTTCGTGGCTTTCTCCTACGTTTTGGCTTTCTTACAAGCGAAAAATCAAAGGCGGGGGTCGAAGGGGCCGGGGGGGGGGGTTCTGGAAGGAGGGGAGGGTTTGGGTTTGGGTTCAACCTCACTCCAACCCGGTGAAAGTTGAACCCAACCCTGGAAGTTGGATTTCCTCCATTCCAATCTTTTTGTCTCGAACCAGACGTGTGTAACACCTTTTATTCTTTTCGTGACATTTCAGCTGCATTCTTCGCTCAAAACAAGATTGTTTTCTATTTGTCTTGAAAGTCTGCACTTGTTTTGTTCTTGCTCCATAGAAACGAACGCGTCTACCTGTTTGTAAAATACAAGCCGTTGGAAAAGGCTTGAGGCTCAAAGGGTTTTGAAAAAGGCTGAAAGCTTCGTTTCCCCGAAACTCATTCTCAAAAGTTCCCTGCTCGGCCTTGCCTCTTTTTGAAACAAAGCTCAAAAAGGAGCTTGACGCTCTTGCGAGAACCGTTCTCAAGGCCCCCCTCGTTGAATCCAGAAGGACCAGGCCCGAAATTGCTTTGAACTGGTGTCGTTTTTTGGTGGTTGCGCATGCATCGAGGTTCCAGCCTCAGCCTGGAATTCGACTGTAACGACAGGAAAGCAGACTTTGTGATGGGGGCAATTCGGCTGATCCGGCAGTTTTTCCTAAAGCTTGCACTGCCTGTTTTGGAAGGCTTAGATGAGTTGCGAGTCGATAACGTGCAGAAGGATTGGCTCAGTGCTGGAACGCGCAAACCCACAGAGTTCTTTGCTACTTGCATGCACCGCAGACCTTTGGCTTCTTACTGCGTATCAGATAGGTCAATCATGCAGCGCAAAGAAAAAAGAGGAGGCCTGGCTTCATGTTTTTCCCCAAGTGCCAACGCTATGTTCGGGTTTTCCATTTCAGACGGTGAAATGCACCGGCCAAGAAAGTTCGCTTGTGAGAAGGATCCGGCAACCAGATTACTTAGATATTAGACGTTGTAGCCAAGGCGTACACTCAAGTTTCTGCGCTTACCATGTATGCCATGAACATATTGGTTGCACAAGTCGACATCGTTCTTCGTGCGAGATGGTAATGCTTCAATCTTGAACAAAATGCATGCTGAACACGTGTGACGACTAAAACTTGCAGCTGTTGTTCCAGATGTTGACAGCGTGTGCTCAACATGACAGGGATGATAGTGCCAACTTGGTTTATCCCATCAGCTTGCACGTCATGAGCAAAGGACTGTCTGTGCTGCTGCTGGCCGCAGTCGGCATTATTATCTGCCGAGTCTTTGCTTGATTCAGTCGTTTTCATGTCTGCTTGCTGGGGCAGTTGGTTTCGCTCAAAGAGCATTGCGTTGCTAGAACGGCGGAGCAGGATGCTGGCAGCCTACATTTGTGCCGCCTGCAGCAGGCCAGAATCAACTCAGGACTGTTATCGTGTTGAAAGTCCGTGCGGTCTGGCCCGAACGTCGAATTGATGGTTCGTGAGTTTTCGAATTTGGTATTTGCGAAATAATTAAGTGGCTGTGTCCAAGTGGCTGCGTCTGTGGCTGGATGCAAAAGTCGGGAAGTTGTCACATGGCATCAGCAGCTGTAGCGCCGTGCTTCGAGACGAGTGACAAATTTCTGGTACTATCAGAATCTGCAAGCTCCTTCCCCGTTTGTCAACAGGACCCCGGACGTGCGCTCTCCTGATCTGCCGCAGCGTGTTTCTTAGACACTGCCCATGGTCAGGGGGGACAGGACAGGCCAGATGCGATGGCTGTCTCGCAAAGCTGCTGGAAGTTCGCGCTGTAAATCACAGGCAATAGCTCCCAAAAACATGCCTGCTCAAAGGGGCCTCCGCCAAGGTCCGCCGTGGCCCTGGCGGGCCTCGCGCCGCTGGTGCTGGCACCGGAAGCCAGTGCGGCCTTCCTTAAAGTTGTGTTGTTCTTTTATTGTGACTCGGAAAAACTGCAATGCAAGAAATTTCGGATGCCGTATGCTGCGTGCTGGAGGATGTTCTTGTGTGAACCAGGCGGTAGAGACCAAGGATCGTTTAAAGGAGATCCGGACTGGACATTTTTGGAAGTCAAGGGAGCAATGCCACGTGAACGGCATCCTAGGTAGCGCAGGGCTGGGAAACCGCGGTCATGCTGCCACTCGAGCTGATAAACACAGGCCGCTGATGGTTGGTTCCGGGTGGACCGGTAAAAAAAAAATGCCTGAGTGCAAGATGTAGAACAGTACTGGCGCAGGTTTGAACCTCTTCAAGACTGCTCTCGGCATCTATGCCCTCATGAGCCTCACGATCGCACTTTGTGCTCGCGTTCCTGGCACACGGTGTTTTTCAAGGGTGAGGTGCAAGTAGTTGCCACCGAAAACCTCTTGCCATCTGATCGGAGGCTGGCTGTATGCTTTCGGCATTATTGACATGCGAAACGTGATGCCCTTAGCTCTCCTTCGCAGCTGATTCTGCCTGACGTCGTTCCACCAAATGTTCAGCGCTCGAGAATGAATCACCAGTTGCAGTATGGACTGTTACTTAGGACATCGTCATGAAGGTGCAGGGAGCACTTTCCTCCGTCATTGACCCTGTGCTGAACCCGCTTCGGAGTGTCATCCCTCCGTCGCTCAGACGGACTGGTAGAGTGTCCGATGTGTCCGTCACTCTGCTTATTTCCCAATTTTCGCCTGCGACCATCTCAGGCTAGGTGGCTTCGACATTTCTTTTATGATTCTGTGGCCATATCCTCAGCTCGAGAGTTTAGGTGTTGGAAAATGTCGGGAAGGATCTCACATAGGATACCGCTTGCCGGTTCTTCTGAGGTTCGTGATCGAGCAGGCGCAGGCGGCAGCGGTAACCATCATGTTCGGAAACGAAGCAGCACTTCAGCAGTTCAAGGGTCCAGGGCCTCTTCGACTCCCAAAGAGTCGTCATCCGGCATCGTCCGTGGACGCTTGATGCCCCTTCCGAACCCGTCATCAAGGAGCCGCCAGCTACGGCAACTACTATTACTGAGCTGAACAAGCTGTGCCTGGTGTAATCGAGTGGCACGTCCGCAACGTTCGAGGTAGGGTGGCTGATTCGGCAACAAGGCTTCTGAAAAGCATCCAGAGTCTGAGCTACGAAGTGTCGTGTGCCCTACCCAGGTGCCGACTCATGGCGTGATGGCCAGCTCGAGTGACTACATTGGACAGCAGGGCCACTTGAGTTGCCCTCTTTGTGTGTAGGCAGATTGTGAGAGCTGGTTAAGTTCACCAGGCCGGCCATAGCAATGAAAGAGAAAGAGCAAAAATAGTACAATGGCTTGAAACAGAAAGTTGGCTCTGCATTGTTTGCAGGTTCCCGAGTACTCCACTTGGCCAGGTCAGCTGGCCAAGTTGTTCAGAAGGTACCAAGATGTGTACCCAACCAACTCTTTTAAGCGGCTTTTTCCGTTCGAAGTCCGTACAGATGCAGAATTCGAGGACCAGCAGACTGCATGGAAGCTTTTCGGTATGTGCCCCTGAATGATGTTGCAGCAAACATCTCGGTAGGTGCAGCACTGTTCTTGATACCGTTTTCTTGGCGCTTGTTGATAGTGTAAAGCAGTATGGCTGTATGTCACGACTCATGTTCATCTCTCACGACGTTTGGGTTACCGGCTGCCGTTTCTCAGAGAGGCTGCAGAGGCCTCAGGCCAGGTCCGAAGATTTACGGAGCCCAGCATCGCAGACATCACAAAAGAGAGCGTGTACCCTAAACCTTTCCGCGCAGATCCGACTCGTCCTTCCCGCCCAATAAGCCTTCGGCGGGAACCGATCGATTGAAAGTTTTAGCACCGGTCTTTTGTGCAGCGATGGTGTTGCTGGAGGCCCGGAGCATGCACGTGCCCCAAACCCCGTCGATGACTTATGCCCGTGCGGACAGGCTCATGTCAAATCTAGCTAGTCGTTAGCCTGTTTGGCAGATCTTGGCAGGCCTTCGGCCTGGCTTCTGGAGAGATCTTTCAGTACAATCGACGCTTGCTTACCGGTTTCGTGTTTGCCACTGGAGTTTACGCGTAGGTCAAGTTGGCTTGCTACGCCTTCAGCTCGATGTCTCTCAGGAGAGAACTTCCAGTTCGACAACGAGCAGCGGATCAGCAAAGATGCGCTTGGATGGCATCAACTTGCTGCTAGTGTTTCGGAACATCTTGTAAGGGGTTCTGTAGGCCTGGTGACATCGAACTCCAGGATAATGAGCCAAGGGTTATTGTCAGGAAAACTAGTTGCAACTTGTATTCCATTCCTCAGTCGCCTTCTGCCCCAAGCCGTGGCCCAAGCTCCCTACCAGCAAAGCAGCAACAGTGTTCGTTTCCTCAGCCAGGTGCAGCGCTACAAAATGCAGGTGGAACGCTTCGAGCTGCCACTCGGCCGTCTTGGAATTGTGTGACGTTGAATGTCAGCAGGCATGCGCCGCCAATGTGGCACCTGAGGTTCAGAGAAGACATTGAGGATCTTGTGAAGCTTACGGTGGACAAGATGGACGCTGGGTACGGCAAATTCACGCTTGCTTCATGCTTCTACAGTTCTACGATTCTACAGATGCTGCGATAGAATTCCGGACAGAGCCCGCGATTTGGGACTCTGTTGCTCTGTTATGGGGTTTTTGGGGTGAGGTCGAAGTACCCGACAGCCTGACACGGCATCCTAGCATGGGGTCCGTTGGTAATCGGGTCTTCAAGATTGGGGCTGAGGACCTCGCACTGGAGATTTGCAAGTTCCTTCTGCTTTCGGGCGTGTCTTTAGAAGGTTTGATTGATGGATTCTCTTCGCAGGTTATCTAACAAGCATCACTTGTCATGCCAGCCTTCAAAGTCACTTCCAGCGGCACTTGCGTTTCCAATGAATGCTCCCGCTCTGGATTCTAGGCTCCGCCGTTACCAACGCTCTGTGTGCTTCATTCCTGAGAGAACCTTCTGCGTTGAGTGGCTGTGTGTGCAACCGGCAGCAAGGACATGTACCACTTGGTTTCGGCCGTTGTCCTCGGCTTCACGACCAGTGTATTCACGGAGGAGACATGTTGGTGTGGGTAGGGTTTTGGGCTGTTTGTGTTATTGTGATGTGAATTTCCTTTATAACTCTGCGAGTGCTGGGTCTTGGGGCGCTCTGCTTCAGGGTATGTCGGGGTCAAAGCATGGAATCCCATAGAAGTTCATTGAAGTTGATCTTCAGGGTTGCTTTTGCTACTACAGAGAGTTTCTGCAAATCCGCACCAAGCTTTCGTTTGACTGGATTGCTTGAGGAACAGCAATGAGCCTGTTGCGACTTCCTGTTCCTTGTTCATGCCTAGTTTGCTTAATGGCTTAGTTGTTCATCCGGACGATGCGCCGAACACTTGAAGCCTGCACAGCAGCACTCCCGGAACAGAAGCGCCAGGGCCGAATCATGGGTAAAACACCGCCGAGCTACATCGCCGTCTACTTTATGGCTGTAGGCAGGGCTCTCCGCCTGTCGTATTCGGGTGGCTGCGTGGCAGCTCTCCTTGGGAACTGGGAAGTTGCTTGCAAGTGTTTATGCCAGCCGGTCACTGCAAAGTCACCAAAGAGATTGGCCTGCGTTCTTCCCAGGTTCCGGCTGGCTGTATCTCCTGATGACGGTGTGGCTGAGCATGTGCGCCATCCATTCGTGCGTCGCTTCGCAGTTGGGGCTGGACATTCTCCATGCAATGAGAAGCCAGGCAAGAGATTGTTTCAGAAGGTCCAGAAGCCTCCATGACGTCCTGAGTCGGAGGTACGCCTCGATCAGTTCTCACAGCCTCGGTGTTCGGCTCCGCACGAGATACGTGCGACTGCCAATCCCGAGCCTGCGGCAGCCCCTTGGCTCAGCAGCTGCGGTCTTTCTGCACCTTCCCTCCGAGAAAAACATGGGTTTGTCTAGGCTTCGGGGTAATTCCTGGCGGCCGTGTGATTGTCTGGGCGACTGCCAGAGCTTCTCAGCTTGCAAGAGCTGTGAAACCGAGGCTTTACGGCATCTCTTCCTCTCTGCAAGACTTCGAGCAGCAGGGCTTCCAGAAGGCTCTTTCGATGCCCCTCCATGTGCTTTGCTACTAATGCTACTAGCTCTGTTTGTCTGGAACTTGCTGCGAGCACTCGCTCCCGCCATGTTGCAGTAGCTGTTGCTCGTGGAAGCCTGCAACCATCTTGCGCTGGCAGATGTTCCGACTACCCTTTGGACCACAAGGCACCCCGCAATGGGATCGAATGAATCGTCGGAGCCTGAGCTGTGTCATTGGATGCGATAAGAAAAATCATAGATAACCTTTACCTGAGTCTCTGCTGCAGTCTGTGGGATTGACCTGAACTCAATGCCAGAGGTTCTGCCAAAGATTGTCTGAATTTCAAGCTCTCCATGCTTTGTCATTCTCCGTCTTGCCCTTTGGCCGTAGCAACCACAGCGGTTGCAAGGTTTGTGTCGCTCCGTGCCTGTGAGGACCCCCCGTCGCCGCTCCAGGGCCGTCGCAGGCTACATCGTCCCAAGCTGCTGGGCCCGGGCAAGCGCCGGACGCCCCATTGCGGGTGCCCTTCGCTGTGCCTTTCGCTCCTCCTGCGGAAGGTCGGAACCCTGGCCTGGTTTGGCGTGTTGCTGCCAAAGCGGCCTACCGCCTTGCAAGCAAGGTCCTTCCGGTGACAGAGCGCTGCGCCGCGGGGGCTCCATGTCCTCCACGGGCTCAGAGGCCGGGACAGCTTGGGAGATGTGGTCGGTATTTGCTGCAGCGGCATCAAGTGCAGTGGTGTCCAGTCGATAAGTATTTGACATGAGCCCACTCTGGGTGGACGCATCGTAGGTGCTGGACCTGAAACCCAAGATACATGCGGACAGAGCGCGTGAACTGCCGAAATGAAGCATCGTTGACGGAGGAGCAGCTGGCTCTAGATGCCAGTGTGGTGACGACGCAACATATCAATGAACATGAAGAGTCTCCGGATCTGGGCAGAGGCTACAGCGGCGACAACTTCCATGGTGCACGTGAAAGCATCTGCAATGCCACCGACTATGCCACCGCAGCAGCATGCCATGCCGAGTACGTCTACATTGTCCTTGCAGCAGACAACTGCTAAAAGCCCAGCTGTGCATTCCCCACCGCGGTGTTTAGGAGCTCCTGCCAGCAGCAGATGGTGGAGTACTGTGGCCCATCTCCGCACCGTTTAACAACCAAGTGCGGCATTTGACGATGCAGGAAGCTTCTACGAGCGGAGGCCACCGAGCGATGGGCTCAAGCTGCTGAGCACCGAAAAAACCTTAGCAGAGCTCGTGCAAGTCGCTAGGCGCAGCTCATGCAACGCAGCAATTGTCCGAATCAGCTCCACCGCGTGAAGCTGAGCATGGACCATCCCGGCTCCGGCAGAAGAGCGAGGTTCTGGATCATTGCAAATGCGAGAACCCGAGCAACCGCAACTAGTGAAAGACCACACCTGAACATGCCATGAGGACCAGGAAGCCATTGGTTGGCTACGTGCCATGTATGGCTCGCATGACCTGATCACTCTCACTGTGGTACACGTGAGTTTTCATCACGACGAAGGATCGATTACACGACACGTAGACTATGCATGGTAAGTCGCTGCATTCAGATTCACGAAGGCAGCGACAACGGCATGCCTTGGAAATCACTCGTCTAGCATCCACCAGTGCTTTAAGGGGGTTAGGGAATAACTCCACTGCCAATCGACGTGGGCGTCAAGTCATTTCGCGAATGAACAACGGGACGACCCCGACAGGACGACCTCGCCCATAGCACCTCGGGGATAGGACCGGGGCATGGGCCAGAGCACCTCGGTCCCAGCACCGATTGGAACATAGCGTTTAAATGCCGGGCAAACAAAAAACGGCAACTAGTTGTGACCTGAATTTTCCCAAGCATGGTGAACCACCGGCCCGGAGGGTGATGATTGTGCTCTCCTGGTAGAATAGAAGTTGCGACTTGTGTTGTTCCAAGCATAGATAGGCAGAAAACTGGCAGCACAGATTCTCCGAGGAAGCTAGCGATGCACTGGGCCCGAGGGGATTCGGACCCTGATGCGATGCTCCTGATCAATCCGAAACTGGACCTCAAGCCGGTGTTTCACGAAGCGTTTCGCAAAGACCTCCGCAAAGATGACAACAAAGGGCCTCTCATGGCACTTCCCCGCCTGTGTCTTCAACGTGACGCGACCGAACAAGGAAACACATGAGTCCCTGATGTGTATCATATTGTCGAGAAGAGCTGCTAGATGTTTAGACCTCAAAGGTGTTGAGAAAAGTGTGCTAAGAAGAAGGGGAAGCTACCGGCTGAATAGTAGCACGTGGCGTACAGTCATGTTTTTGCTTGTCCTGCATCTGACCATTTCGAGCAAGTGAATTCTTATGCTCATGTACAGATACCTTTCTTTCAGACAGAAGTGTGCAGAGCATCATTTATCCCTCGTGTACAGCCGGTTTTGGGATAGCCTTCCCCCACGGCATCGAAAGTTGCAGCTGCATGTGTAATCTCGGATCCAATGACTAGCATGTTCAAACATACTCTATACTTTGTCCTGGCGATCCTGCGGATGTTTTTCACGTAGTCAGCGTTGCGTGTCTGCGATCTTGGTGTTCGTCTGCGATCGCCAGGACCTCTTGGGCCTTGGCGAAGCTGGCTTTGGCCGTGAGCAGGCGAACGGAGTTGTTTTTGATTCACGTTGCTTCCGTGCAGCTTTTCTCCCTGTTACGAGGTGCTTGAACGCGCCGTGCGTTGGACTCGGACAGATCGTTTTTGCCCGAAACCTGAAGTTTGAGACCTGCGATCAGTGACCACGGTAGATAGTTTGCTTGACCGGCTCAGGGAGACGTCAGCCCCGGCTCAGCACGTGCAGATGTTCCGAAAGCTTCAGTCCATGCCGGGAACCTCACACTGGCGCATGGTCTGGATTCACAGCTTTCGCATGCAGGATGACCGGTTCGCAAGTGCAAAACATGCCGAAATGAGACCAAGCTTTCAAGGTGGAAATCATTCGAAGCTTCTGCTTGCGAGGTGGCAGTGCTTCGATGCATACGCACGTGTCAGTTGCTTGACTGCACTGTTGCTGGTGCATTGGTCCTGAGTCCGCTTCAGGGCACTGCCGCACTTCAGCATACCGATAGGTTCACGAGCTTCAGCGATTTGCTGAGGCATGAGCCTGGGCGTGCACCAAATCGTCCAGGACGGGTGGATGAAAGCCATGGTAGTTTTGACAGGTGTCGTATGTAGATTGCAGGCTTTCGAAGCTGAAAGCAGGTAGTGGCTTCGGACTGGGGATGTCGTCATGCGGGCAGGCGATCAATCTTTTCGTCTTGGGCCTGACATTGGTGGAGACGCATTGCCCCTCGGTGGCCATCGCGATCACCCTCACGTTGCAGGCGGCTGCCTGGCGGCAATGAGACCCTGCCCTCGGAACTGAGTCAAGGCTTTGAGTCTTCGAGAGGCTGTCCTGACTCGAGGTTGCTTTCTCCTTGACCTTCATGGACGTAGCCAGCCTTCACCGGTGGCAGTGGGTCGGGATCCCAGGTCCATAGGGCGATGGTCAAAGGCCTCAAAAAACTTGGCTCGAGAGCAGAGGTTCCCAAGTTGTGTAGTCGGCTGCAGGGAGTGCACGCTACCAGTGTGACTGCTGTGTTGACTTGACTAGCTCGGATCCTTGTGAAAAGAGATGACCGTGTCACGGCGGACTTCGTTTGGGTTCATGTGCCAAAAGAGGGTGATGGAGCACATGGTTGTTCTGAAGCGAACCTTTCTCGCAAGGGAGCGTCTGTTTGCAGAGCTTCTTTGCTTCGTGTCGCTCCGCGCCAGTAGTGATGTGTGGAGGGTATTCGCTTGGCTTTGGAGGCAGTTGCCGGAGAGCGCACGCGATAGCCCGAGTGAGCCTGCACCACCGAGGCCGGAATGCTGGTGATTTCAAGCGGGCCTGGAACTTCGCTGAAGCTCTTTCTTGACAAAGCAGGCCGCTGGAAGATTTCTTTTTGGCAACCGGGACCAAGGTGTGCAGTCACAACGGTCTTCTCCTTGATGTTCGCAAAGCTGACGGCCAGCCGGGTGCAGATTTCGGGCTTTGCACCAGACAGCGTTGCATTGAGCACATGTTGGCATGACCCGCGCCGCTTGGAGACGACGTGTCGCTTCAAAACAGTTTCTGCCCCTGAGTTGCTCTGCTACTGAAAACTTCTGCGAATTTTGCAAATCCTGAAGGCTGAGTCCGTGCCCGACATCACGAAGCCGTTCCCCCTGGCTCCGATTGGCTATTTATTTCAGGTTTCTCTGCTGTGATAAGATCCCGAATATCAGTCGAAGAGCCAGTAATTTGGGCATGCATCTAGCATCAGAAGGCCCCCCCCCCGCACTTCCACAGAGACGAAGGCAGAGAAGCCGGTAGCCAAAGCCCAAGACAGTCCTTGTGGGAAGGTGATCTATTTCCAGCTGATCTTGGAACTCGCCACAGACACAGACCGAAAAGCTCGCTGTGTCGATTCATGCTCGTTATTTCCATGCTCTTTTGGGAGTCTTTTGGGTTCGGCTTCTGGAGTCCCAAGAGTCTGTGGCATGTAGCTCTTTTTGCAATATGAAGGATGAGACGGCCGACTGACTTCATTCTCAAATTCGTCTTATCCAACATCGCATGTGCATGCTCTCCTTCCTTACGAGCATCCTAGGGGAAAGCTCGTTTCAAGAGCAGCTTCTGTAATCTCGAGAACTCGGCTGAGGCCAAGCCGACGGACGAGATCATGTCCTTGCCCAGGAGCGGGACGTCAATGTCTGGTGGAACAGCAGGGCCCGAGGGCAGGGTCTCCAACCGGCGTTGAAGGAAGGACACGATGAAGAACTGAAGGCATGCCTGCAGCACCAACGCTCAGACAACAGAAATTTCCGCAGTCTTCCTCCCCAGAGTCACGGAACTCTGACATGCACCTAAGTTTTGCGCCTCTGCCAGGAGATTTCGGGCAGTCTTGTTCACGGACGTCTTCGGCGACTCGAGCTACGAGCTTCGAAAGCAGTTGAAAGGGGCTTGCTGCCATCACACAGCGCGGTTGCTACCAGTTTATTAGACACGAGTACTTATCAGCTCTTCCTGCCAGTGTTCGCAGTGTTGGTGTTTGTCGTAAGGATCCGACGGATGCAGAGCACGCCCTGCCGCCGGAACCCGGGAGGCCACAGAAGGGACAGGGGGCAAGAGACTTCCTCATGAAACTCCTGCACGGCTGGTGTTGGTGACAGCAACACATGGTGAGAAGAACCACATCGCAACCCGACTGGATCGAAGCGTTTCTTGGGGTTCGTTCTGTGAGATCTCACTGAGCAGCCCACGCCAGAGCACCGTAGTCGCTCCTGTGTTCTTGTTCGTTAATGTTTAGGTGCATGTAGCATACTTCCGTTTGAGTACTTTCGTCTTAGACTTGAGGGTCCCTGACCCGAAGGCCGGGGCAGATGCAGCGCATGGCCCAGGACCTGCATCATCTGTGCCTGTGCTTGCCTCACGATGCCACGACCTTCGGAAGACCTCAAAGCGTTCACCCGAAGACACATCAGAATTTCAGAGCTTGCGGAGTGGTGTGCATGGGACTCGAGTTTAGATCCTCTAGCGGCGCGCCCGCAAGAGCGAAGCCGGAAAGAGTATCCCAGAACCACATGCACTGCCGTCCGCGACCGCGAGGTGAGGGCCTAACTGTCAAAGTGCACAGGCCCCGAACCAATGAAGTACTGCTTTTTCCTGGAGACTGCCGTGGCCCGTACGAGGCTCTCAGAGTCACCACTCACAGCGCCCGCAAGCTGACAGGACAAGGCGCTGGCCACGTGCGATAACCTCTCGGCAATGGCGCAGATGGCTCTTCGTCGTTGGGAGGCCAGACTTTCCTGCAGAAGAGCCTGATGCCACACCTCAGGCTGTGAGAAGATGTTTGACTGCTCCCGCGTTTGCAGTCGGATCCGCAAGCATGCGGGGGCTCATCCTATCGAGAGTGTTGGTCCCAGGCGCTTCCACAGCCACACTTGAGTGACGAGGTGGGGACTCGTTGCTACGATAGTGTTGAGTAGTGTGTCTGCACGAAGTCTAGAATTTCAGTTATGAGGACCTGGCAATTGCGGTATGAGGTTCAGGCGAAGGTCATGGAGGCACATGTCCTGCGTGCTGCACACCCTTGGCGCCGCTGAAGGACCAGGCCGTCCTCGAGCAGAAAAGGAAGGAGTACACGCTGTCACGAAAGGCGCGTTGATTGCCACCTCACCGTAAAGGATGCTCTTTGGTTGGGTCCTAGATGATGGGGAAACTCGATGCTTCGATGCTGTCAGTGCAGACTGATTCAGTGCAGGGTGTCAAAGATCGAACTGCAAGACCTTCGCCAGTGCCTTCGTTTCGTCGCCCTGTTGACTTGCCAGTTGCTTTTGTAGCTCTCCACGATCTTGCGTGCCCACCCTACGAGAGACGAACATCCCGGGACTGTTTCCACGCTAACTACAGCAGAGCGGGGCCAAGCATGACGATGTTTTCACAGTCATGAACCGCAAGTAGCAGCGTGTCGTGATGTCTCCGCCTCCGCCATCCATGTGGTGGCTCTCGGACGAGAAGTCACAGCACTGGATGCTTGCTGTGGAGTGGTCCGAGCACCTGCGACATGGACAGAGGGCGCAAATGCACGTGCCTCGAAGTTTGCTTCGTGATGTTTAGTCAAATCTGAATCTAGTCACAGACCTTAGCCAATTCGATGTAATCGCAGATAAATCCAAGGGAGAGTCCTCCACGTTGCCGTGGCCAAGGGAGGTCGCGGGGCCTCTCCGCCGGCTGTTCCGACTGAAGCTTCAACAGAATGCGGGCTGGAAGATCGACAACGCCAGACAAGTCACTGCGTTCGGAATAGGAAAGGACCATAGCCGCAAAGCACAAGCAGTTCACGTGGCCATGGAGCTTTTGCTCGCTTTTTGTCGTGTGCGGCCTAGAAGCTCGCTGGCTTTCATGCCTGATGCTTGGCAGGCGCCACAAGTCACAGTAGACTTCGAAGACCATCAGCAGATTGATCGGAATCCTCGGGGCTTCCAGCGATCGTTTGAACATTTTGCTGTTGTTCTACACGAGCCCGAAAAGGTGGCCGGCTGGTTCTTTGCAGAGATACAAGACGCGAAAAGACATTACGAGCATCTGATGTATCGAGGATATGCAACTGCCCTCTTGGATTGCAACGGCAAAGAAATTGAGAAGCATGGAGTCTACGTTGGAAAGCGGATGAAGGAATGCTTGACATGGTGGCGGTCACATTCACGGCCTGTGGCGGATGAATCTTCGAAGATGCAGATTTGGTGCGACATTCAGCATGAATCCAAAGAGACGGCACAAGGGACCCCTTTGGAGCATCACGCTGATGGCCAGCGGATCCAAATCGAGGACCTGTCCCGTTCACTCACTTGGCATACTTTCATTGTTTCATAAAGGTTCTGACGCGTGCGGGGGGAGGGGGCAGGTTTTGATAGTGCTGTGACACCTGACGCCCAGGCTGGATCAATGTTTTCGATGCGATCGAGATAATGTTCCAGTCGCCGACCTACGCTACACGCAACGCACATGTAGCTCCTACTTGCGATGCCCCGGTCATGGGAGGCCGAGGTGCGACAAGTGTTGGCATACGTCTGTGGAGGACCTCACCAGGCGGATAGTTGATGATGAGCATTACCTTCGCAGGAATGAATGGTGCACTTTGGACGTTATGGTGAGGAAAGGCGTCTATTTCTCAATCGACAATCGTCGGCTGCTGGCTATGAAGCAAGCGCAGGAACGGCTAGGTCAACAGCGAGTGGTCAACGCGAGCATACGAGCCTACCATTGGCCAGAAAAGTTTGACGTTTTTTTGAAGAACGAGGCCAAAGAATCACTGGCAGCACACGCAAAGTTCGCGGATCACCTTTCACACAGTTTGGGGCCTAACGACGGCAAGCACATCGAAGTCATGCCATGGCGACGCTGAAAGTATATTGCATACTCTTGACGGAGAATCTGCTTCTTTGCGTGGAGGTTAAGGCTGAGGTTTGGTCTCGGTGCTACGGCATCTTTAGTGGCTACAATCGTAAACCCGATGGAGCCTTGACATTGCTGCTCGACCGCCGATGGGTGGTGCCATCAAACTTGCATTCGTGGCTGAAGGATGATTTCCTCGCAGCTTCTTTAGAAAAGATGCTTTTGTTTCGTCACCCTGGAGGAAGTCTAGACGAAAAGGGTGTCGCCCAAAGGTGCAAACAACTCTGAGGCACATGTGAGACACCAAGAAGTAGGGATCGCCGTTGCCACGCAGACCACCACTTCAGGCGCTGATGGCACACCTTGTGGAACTCAAGCGTGAACAGGGAGTTCCCTTCGATCCGGAGGCGTGCTGCTCCTCCGGGGGTGGTGGGTGGCGGCTTGTCGTGTCCCGAGTCACACACCTGATTCTGCAAGATCAGTTTTCAAGGTACCGCCTGCGTCCCAGTGGGTCGAAACATTCAATGGGAAGTGTTGGCAGGACCGCGATCGGCTTGAGTTGAAGTCATGGAGCGAGCTCAATGACGTCGAGAAGGACAGCAGCTCCGCAATCCTGCATGCGACACAGACACGGCATCAAACAAAGCGACTGTAGGATTGCTGAAAGAAAGCGAAAGCATCAGCATGATTCCTGCTTGTTAGCAGCGAAGCTTATATGGGTATTGACCCCCTCCTGAATGCTCGAGGAAGCCTCAATCCCTGCAGGCCGAAGACGTGTTTGCCGGTTATGTCATTGGCCCGATGCAGCTCTCCGCTGGCAAGCAGCGCGCTTGGTTCAACACAGGGGTGCAGTTATTTCAGAGCTCGCAGCTGTCCTCAGCTTTCTTCTGTGCCAAAACATGTTTCCGTTTCTCGCGACAGGTCGCAGCTCTACTTCTATGACTTGGAAACAGGTGCAGAATGCAGGGAAGTGAGGAGACATGCATGAAGCCCCTCCAGCAACAACTCCAAGACCGCAGACTCGCTTGCCAGGCGAGTGCATCTATGACCGCCCAGGGCGTCGACCGCTGCTCACGCTTGACGACGTGTCCGAGCATGTTGCGGGCCGAACAGGGGTTCAGTTCTGATCATCGGAGCGCGCAGTTTTGAGCACAAGGGACAAGATGTGTGGCATGTTCATGTTTGCTTCCAGCGCCACTGAGTCCGCATAGTGATCTGACCAGGTCAGCAAATTCGCCCGAGCTGTCCGGAGAGTGTTCTCCGATGCACAGCCCGGGCACCAGGGCGCAGTTTGATCTACTCGTAGGTGGGGCAATGGAAGGAGGATGATGGCGGCGTCCTCTAATATTCACAGGATTTGTTTATGCTGAAGGGGTTCGTTTACAAGCCCTCTCCTCTTCCAGTTTCTTCCAGTCAGGAGAGTTTGGTTCACATCAGCTGTCACCACAAGATCGGGACTTGCAGTTGAGACAGAGTATTGAAAGAGTTAAAGGGCCGAAAGCGCTTGCCCAGGCAGGCTGCCGAGGAGTTCGAAGACGGCAACGGCCACAGGAGTTATGGACATACCTGGACATTCTAACTCACTAACGGCTGGTTTAAACTTGATAGTTCTGATAGTTCTCCTTTAAGCCTGAAAATACGAACCAAGCGGAGCCTTTGCAAATCGAGGCGAGTCTTCGCGGGGCGCGAGTCCAGGCTGCGGGGGTTAAACGAAGACCACAGTGTGGCAGCAGGATTTGCAATGTTATGTGGTATCCAAACAGCCAGGCCACAGTGCCGACGGCCTGGAGCCACAGGCCCTTTCACAGGGGTCGAAAGTCGCGAGGGGTCGGGGTTCGTTCACGACATACCCGCGGCCGATTTGATTGCTGCTGCAGAGTATCGTCAGGGTGGTCGTGGCCGCTCCATTCAAAAGCGGGTGGCACGGTCGATGCACGAAGCTCGGCCTTTGCTAGCTTATCTCTTCACGACTTTCATTATCCGAAGTCGGCCGGGCACGGACCAGGACGAAGCTCATGGGACAGACCCGCCGCTCGGCCGCTGGCTGGAACGCGCGTTCCACGACTTCCGCTGGTTGTATATCTCCTTTGAGAGACTTGCAGCATCTTCTAGCTTGGAGTATCCAACGCCGAGGACTACCAACACGGGTGGACAACCTGCCATGGAAGGCGCTCATGCGACTAACACAGGCCGGTGGTTGCAGCAGCTTCTCATCCATCCTTTGTGTCGCAGTGGGTGTCGGTCTCAGGTTCTTCAATGCTGTGCTTGGCTTAGTCGGCGGGTCCTTGCAGTGTTGTACCGGATGCGGGCGCGTTCGAGCATATTGAAAATTGATATTGTAATGATATTGTATGATTTGTTCTAGTAGTGCAGTATAATACAGCATATTATATTATAGCATCATTACAGTGGATTTTGATAGTACTACTACATTACTATTAATTCTATTATTGTTATTACTGTTGTTGTTTTGTAGTATGAGAGTGTAACACATTCCGGGCCCCATGTTTTCCAGTCAACACGCTGTTTTCTATGAATTTGTGCATGCAACCCAGTTTTTCTTGGTGCCTGATATGGGCGCATATTCAGCGTGGAATGTACTTCTAAACTAACTTTCATTTTGGAGTTCTCATGGGTACCTTCCGATGAATCTATCCCGCGTCAATCCTGCATTTGTTCTACATGTACTGTAGCAAATTCTTGAAGATGGGACTCCTACAAATTTTCGGCAAATATGGGGCCCGTATTGTGTTATGTGTATTATCGTTGTTATGGGTCTAGTTATTCGGATACTATAGTTTGATGGGCTTGTGCGATGAGTATGTGAAGAACAGGGAAACCGGAACACGATATCTACGGGTTGACAGCTGCATGCGGCGAGTTGCCATGCTTGATGAGCCACGGATATTTTTCTTCTTGTTCTCGTGGAGCTTTTGGAATGCTTTTTCGGTGGTTTCTCACTTTTTATGGCATCATTTTGTGTGTTGCATCTGTTGTAATTACGACACTAGCAGGATGATTGCATGAATTTGCTTACTTAGGTACTCTCTTGCAACTCTTAGGCTGGATCTTCCTGGCCGTTGCAGAAGCCTGTTCCAACTGGTTCCCGGACACGTTCGGGGCAGCCATGTGCTCAGAGGGCGGTTTGCTGAACGACAGACAGGTCATGGATCGCAGGAGCGACTGTAGCAATGACGGCTTTTGGTTTTCATAATCGCGTGCTTCTGGGCTAGGCCTCTTCGTGTGCCCTGTCGCCAAGGACCTGTTCCGCGTTAGTTGGTCAGGAGATTCTGGCGAACTCAAGGAGGACTGGCATGGAGGCCGCAGAGCAGCGCCTTGATAACTTTCGGGTGAGGGAGCCCACCCGTCACAGAACCTTAAGGGATGATGAAACCCCCCCGAGAGCATTTTTGAAAGTAGATACGCCCGTACTTCGAGAGCAATCGAATTCCTTTTGAAACGATAAGAGTACAAACTAACGATAGCGAATGTTCGCAACCTTAGCTGAGGTCATGCAGTCCCAAACTCCTTAAAACGATAAGAGTAAAACAAACGATAATCATGTTAAGGGTCAAGCAAATGGGTGGGAGTTTTCATGCGCCCTCACTTGCAGCGACTAGCACGCGAGGCTTCCTAGGCCGTTCGGCGTCTCGACGTCTGATCTGTTTTTTCGTTTCCGGGCAGACCCCGAAGAGAAGTACTTGCACGAGTGCGAGGAGCATCTGCATCACGAAGAGCATGCAGGCGGGAACGGCTTTGCTTGGAGCGATTGCTGCGACCCTCGCACTCACAGCGACTCGCTTCGCTTCTTTGCTGGAGACACATGTCGGTGTTCATGGGTGGCAAAAAGTTCAGGCACTTGCACAGAGCAAATTGGATGTGGCGACAGAGCACAGCACGAGCGAAATCAGGTAGAACGAGGCAAAAGATCAGTGTTGGTGGCGTGGTGGTGGCTGGTGGCTTCGTGGAGCAACAGCAAATGGCAGCTAGCCCAGCCCTCCCCAAAGCACGGCAGGACGAACGATGAGCGAGAGACAGAAGGGGAGGTAGCGCAGCAGAGAGTTGTGTAAGGCGGACGCACGCAGATGATCTAATCACTCAGGATTCGCAGATTTCTCAAGTCTTCAAGCTGCAAATAGATTTAAGTTCACTTCATACTCCTAGGACAGTCCAGCATAGTGTCAGTGCCCGTCATTGACCTTGCATTTATTTTGTCCGGCCCCCTGCCGACAGGCGAGCATGAAGAGCACGCGCACCATGCAGAGCATGCGAGCGAAGGCCCCTCTCGGCGGCCGTCGAATGCTCGCCGAGAGGAGTCGAGCAAAAAGAGGACGTGTCTGCGAAACCTGCGAGAAGCAGGTGAACATCAGACCGCTCCTGCAGAAGGCCGCCCGGACTCGCATCGTGTTGTACGTCGTGGAATGTCGTGATTACTGGTAGATTCTTGTCCTTGGAAGGCGGGGAGTTCAAGAAGTCAGGTCTCAGAAGCTTGGGTCATTTTCGTGTCTTGTTTCGCAGGAGAGCATGCATCACCGGCTTCTCCATACGAAGGAGGCCGCTTCCTTGCCTCTGTTGCCAGCTTGGGGGTCATTCAAGCTGTGAGCCGAAGGCCATCCGATCAGCTACGAAGGACAAGTGGCTAGATTTGTGCAGAAGCTTTGCCTCATTGAAGTGCAGCTGCTACATGACTTTGTGAAACCCGAGAGATCTCGGATCGCAGTCACCCCAGAGATTTTGTGCACCTGAGAATTGAACTTCAGACCATGACCTGCGAAAAACCACCCGGTTCCTCTCCCGGAATGCCCTCGCTGAAAGCCTCAAGACGATGTGGGCCAGGAGACCTCGCGCCGTTGCACGAAGGCGCTCCTTCGGAGCACGAAGGTGCGAGCAAACTCAATCAGGAAGTGTCAAACAAGTCAAGCAAAGCATATTGGTGGACCGGAATACAAGCAAATCCAGGCTGAAGAGTGCGAGTGGAAACCCCCGAGGCCAAGAGCCTTTCCGACACCCTGAAACCTTCCAAGCTCGAACAAAGACCACAAAAGCACCCGAGATGAGCAGAAGCAGGTGCCGGCCACCTGCGACGGCTCCGCTCAGAGACACCAGGGCGACCCTGGTGGCAACGCGCAACGGAGGTGCGGAACCAAGCTGCACCGGCATCAGTGTAGAGTCTTTCCGTTGCAGGTGAAGGCAACGTGGCCTCACGGCTGCCAAGCTGCAAGCGGAAGCTTTGTTGCGGGTCTCAGCAAATCTTTGTCGACATCTCGAGTGCCCGACCTGCGAGGCATTTTCTTCCGTGCGGTGGCTCTGGCCAGCTTGCCTGAGTCCGGCTTGCTTGCCACCACGGCCTTCACACTGCCTGGGAGCCCGGAGCGCGGGTGTTGCACTTTCCGCCGTCAAGGCATCGGGCGCCTTGGGTTTGAGACGGTGGCAGCGTTGCAAGGTACAGATCTTCCGAGCCACGCCTCGGACAGAGCCTCTCCTGGCAGGCACGGCTCCTTTTCGATCCCGGTCGCACGTTTCAAGACGTCGAAGCAGGCCTTGCCGAGACCGGAGTTCCCAGCTTCGGCAGCCATCTGCGATGCCGGCAGTGACGTGGCTACGGTTTCCAGTTGGCGTGTGGGTGCTGTCTCGCTCAAAGCAGTTCCGTAAATTTGCAGAGTGGTCGAGATCAAGGAAATGGTTCGCAAGAAGCGGCTTCTCGTTGCCTGATGATCGCGCCAAGGCGAGACTGTGACGAAGAGCCCCGAAGAAATCCTAGATAGATAGGAAGCAGCGGGTAAATGTGAGATGTTGCAGCCCCCGCGGTTGCCAGTGCTGAGATTCGGGAGAGCTTTACCAGATTTTTCCAGGTGGTTCAGAGGGCTCGTAGATGACGCCAGGAGTGCGACTCCAGCCCTCGTCTTCTGGTCTTTCGGCTCCCCGGTACCCTGGCTGAGTGCAGGGTGCCGTTTGTCATATTGTTGCGAACTAGACTGTAGATGTCATGTGAGCACAATTTCAACTGGGAAGCTCACCACGAAAGGTATTAGTCGGGTGCATCTGGAACCCGATTCGTATTCCCTCGCCACGCACGTTCGCAACAATGCAAGGAAGCTGCCGTGGAACTTCCTCTTTCGCCAAGGCTTGTTCCGAGACTTCGCAGAAAATTAGTTGAATCATAGCATATGATAGTGGAAGAGGAAGAGTGAAACTCCTGTTGCTGTAAGCTGCGCACCCTTTGTGGGTCCAACAGACTCCTCGGACAGGTTGCTGCCGTGGAAGACTGCAGCAGGCTTCTCACGTGTTGGGAATCGACCCTGAAAAGCCTTGCAGCACATGTTGCTAAACACAGGCGTACTGCACTTCTCCAGGGAGACATTTAGGGTGCCATCAGTCGGGGTGCACCAATGTTTGTACCAGGTGCGGCGCTGCCCTGTGAAAAACTGCAGTTCTTGGCGCATGCGGATGCACAGCGGTGTTTGCTGTTCCTCGGCATTCTCCAGCATTTGGCCAGAGTGAAGCCGTCGGTGATGAGTCTTTTAGGCACAGTGTTGGGTAGCGTTCCCAGGCTGGCAGGTTGGGATGATGCTCGACTGCGAGTCGCTTTGGTGAAACTTCAAGATGGGGGCCTGCTGCCTTCGCCTGACGCGCAGGTGGCCGTGCGCATCTCGGCTGCACTGGGTGCACAGTGCACAGAGACCGCCATCACCCTGTCACCCTGCACTGGGCCCCGTAAAAATACGTTTCTGACACCACGGTCAGCGTTGTCTCTTTTGCAGGCTCTGAGGTGCCGCTGGGCAGCGGCTGTGGCAAGGCGCCGGATGCCCTGTGGCTTGGCTTGCAGTCCCAGGACCTTTCCGAGTGGCATGGAGAGTCCATGGAGAAACGGTCTGCTTCGTGCACGCTGCGCATAGGAACGGCTCCTCTAAGGCACGTGGATGCCACAGGTCGGCTCTGGCTTTCGGAAGGCGGAGCCTTGGCGGCTTGGCACCTGCCCTCAGGCCAGCCTTGCATAGCCTTGCGCAGGCCTTGCGCTGAAGCTTCAGCTGTGTGCCAGCTTGTTGATTGCTGCCGTTGTCACCAATCTGCTGATTGACCTTCGAGATGGTTGCAGCAACGACATGTGTTTGCACCATGACTCATGACCCTGATCATTAGTAGAAACATTAAACTGATGCAGGCACGGAAGCGTGGTACACATCACGGCGCAGTGCCTCTGACATGGTTTGCGAATGCAACGTGGCAGTTGGCCAGGTGCCTTCCTTGGCCGCTGGCAGCCTTCCTGGCGATCGTTCCGGCACGGCCCCTTGTGTCTCCAGGTTGGAGATGCAGCGGAGCATTGTTCTGTGTGCTTGGCTGAGGCCGTCCGCCCTCTGCACTTGGGGCGGACGCCTCCTCGTCGCCGGTGCCGCAGGACGCGGAAGACGCGGAAGTCGAAGCGGCGAAGCGGGGGAGAATCGAAAAATAGAGCTGCCCTGCCCTGGCCGTCGACAGGACCCGGCTTCGGAAGGCCTGCCTTGCTCAGCTTCAGGCCCAACCTGACGGAAAGCCAAAGCGCTCCGAATCGGCTCTAGGCGAGGGCTCTCCAAAACCAGGCCACCATCTGTGGGTCCCATGAGCCATGGTGCTGATGCTTGTACTTTTACTTTTGCCCCATACTATTCATAGTATTTGAGCCTCCCACCTCCGTAGCGCACAAGGATTTCAAGCATCAGCCTGTTGATAACGCCAACACCTTGCTGAATCTGAGGCTCAGCTCGGTGCCTGTCCAAAGAACCTCAGACAATCGTAGTAGTGATGCGCAAGATGCGAAAGCAAAACAAAGCAGTGCAATTGGGTGGTTGGAGTTCAGTTCACGGTGATGCAGCTGTCAGACAACAGGCTGGGTCCATGAAGGATTCTGGATGGCTGCCGGACGTCATAGTGACACATGCTGAGCATGCTCGCAACTAAAGTCAACACCTCGTTCTCCAACAATCTTCATGTCAAGATATGCTATAGCGCCATAGGGTCGTGTAAGCTAGCGCATTGCTGAAAGTCCGCTAACGGTTAGCCGCTAACGCTATGCTATGCGGATGGACACAGCCGTCGATGCCAATACAAGTACAATCTTCCTTGACATGCGACATGATGCCTGTAAACCGGGACAATCGGGTCACTGTTCAACATGTTCGAGTAAATTCTTGCAGGGTTCCGCACGTTGTAGAAACTCGCCATGCAGGTCTTGGGCAAAGCGCCGGACAGACAGACTATCCGCTCCTGCCTCTTGTGCGCTCTGACCCCTGTCATCCCCTGAAACCGTCGTTGAATCTGCACGTGCGTATGACAACGAAGTACGGCAGCCACTGCAAAGGAGCATAATTACCGCGCAAGGATTGCGGTGCCAACAATTCTTGGCGTCATGATCACTCGTCTTGAATTGGGGCACGTAATGCCACGTGCGCACGACCATGGTTGTTGAGGGAAGGCGCAAGAGAGCAGCAGCGGCCAGGCAACTTGGGTGCTTGGCTCGACTCGTTGTCCAAATGTGTTGCACATAGGAATCACAGTCCCACCACCAGCAGGGACCCAGCCCCAAAATGCCTAATCTCCCTGTGAATGCCGGGCGTATTAATACAAGCGAAGTCCGTTTCCGGAATGGGAAACCCCTGTGCGTATGCCGAAAGATTGTGTTTCCCTAACACCCTAAAATAGAGCGTTCCCCTGGCAGTACTCAGGTAATGCCTGCAAAATACCCCACGCACTTCGGGCAACATAAGATGGTGTCAGGGTGCTAACGATGTTGCTTCCATAGGCAAAAGCGGCATCACAGCATCTGACCTACGCCTTCGCACCAACTGCCACCATCGCATGCACGCTCACCAAGCGAGAGAGGTCCACCCTAGTTCATGCAGATGCCAGGTCTCGCGGCTGCGCAGCGACGCAAGCTGCACCACGTAGCTCCTGCGTCTTTGCGTGCAACGTGTCGCCGTCCCGAGCCAGCTATGCGTCCTTCCCCGATTGAAAGGAACGCACGATTGGCCTTGTAACTTTCGCACAGTATAGCGCTACGTGCGCCTCCGCCGCGGCCCCGCTCTTGGAGCTGCCGATCGCAGCAGGTCAAGCGCTTGACCACGCCGGCTGTAGTGCATCCGCTGTAGCAATAGTAGATGACCGATTCGGGACACATCGTCGCAGGATCAAAATGGAGTAGGCAAAACAAAGGAACACGAAACACAGGGCCGGCATGAGCATGCAGGCAGGCGGATGGAAACAGCTGCAAGGACATTGTGGCATCCACAGACCGACCTACAGCCGGCGCGAGCCGTCGTAACAGGGCCCTGCGTAGCCAACGTCACTTGGCCCTGTGGCGCCGTTCCCGACACACGAAAAACACACCTCCAAGTGAATGCAACACACGTTCCCGAACTGGATGCGACGTTGAACATAGAGGTGTTCGTTGGGGCCGACCGCCATCGCCCCATCACCGCACTAGAGTTAGGTGGACAAATTCGCACAGAGCGGCTTGACGAAACGCAGGAGTTGAGGCGCGACCTCCTGGGAGGATGGTTACTGGCTGACAGCGTTGTGAGTCATCCTGCGCGACTTTGGCTTCGGGCCAAGTTCGGTCGTCACCAGGAGCATGTCGGTTTGTGGAGGGGTGCCCAACTGGAACTCGATCAGTCGAACAACCTTCGGAAGACTTTGCCTATTCCTGTTTTGTTGGGGGGTTTCGAGTTCGACAACATCGTGGGCTCACTGTTAATTAAAGCCCTGGCATGGACTGTACTTCTAGTGGCTTCCTGCCTTCCTCTTCGCTTTTTACGAGGTGCCCATTGTATGTGTGCAGGTATGGCATTGCCTGCTCCTTACTGTTGGTTCTGAGTTTGTTGATGTTGTGGTTGGGGTGATGGAGTGTTGTTTGTGACAATGGAGTAATAGGACGGAGCAGGAGATGGGGCCTGATACATCGGATCCTGAAGACGCATACGAGCACTGTGGGGTACATCGTCTAGATAATCATACGGCATTCCTACTGGGCCTCCAGGCTTTTCACCCCCAACAAACATCACTGCCCCGACATCCCCATGACCCTTTCACAACGATGCACAATCTTCGCTGTGCGCTTCATTTGTGCTTGAGCCACGTTCAAGCGGCCATTGGTTCACGGTTACATGCTACGTTCAAGTGGCCATTGGTTCACGGAAGCAAGTGCGTGCTGACCTTGCGCAGGGGCCATGCGCTCAAACTACACACATGCTCACAAACACTCCTCCTCATGGGCGCTGTGCTGGACTATTCCTTCGGCACTTGCCTTCAAAAGGTTGCTTAAACACTTCAGGAGTCAAAACTGTTGCTTTAAGCATTCCGGAATGAGGCCGAGATAGTCTCGAGCACGACACAAAATTGTTTTCGACAAAAGCTTGGTTAATCCATCCGCTGGGAATTCATCGGCAGGAACATAGGTGACATCCACTCCCACAGCACTCCCAGAGCTCTCGTATGATCCCTCAGGTACGCGGTTCTCATGGTGAAATGTCGTGTGCGCATAGCCGCACTGAAGAATCTTCGCCCTGTAATGTTCGTGATGGCGCCAGTGTTATCTCCATGAAGTGTGAGATTGATTGACCCCTCGCAATACAAAGCATACAAAGCCTCAAGGATCCCTAAGACGCGCACTCCCTCGCTCAAACCAAGACTCATGGCTTCTAGCTCCGCTTCACATGCTGACCACGCACACAGAGGCTGCCTTTAGGATTTCTAAACTAGGATGGCACCATCGGTTGTTACACGGATGCCGCTTCGGGAACGAGCGCCGCCTATCGCAAGCGAAGCATCCGTCCACATTGTCATATCAAATGAAGCTGCATCATTCCACTTTTTTCCACGGACTTTTATGCCTGCACGACTGAGTCGACTCTCCAACCAACTCAGTACCACTACTGCGGCCACGCGGCACGGTCCCGGCTTCGGGCCGCAGCGGCAGGCGACTGGCCCCTTCGTTTGCAGCACGGTCGAGGACACGGTCCAAGAAAGGGCCGTGACTCGGCCCCTGCTGTGGAGCAGCTGACCAGGGGCAGTTAATCGCAGTACTGGCGACGGCGACGGAAAGAGCGCCCCACCAGCGCCTCGCCCAACCGGCGGCCGCTGCGTTCCGAGCCGAGGACCAACAGTCTCTGTGGAACCCCGTGCAAGGTCAGGACGTGGACATTTTGCGGCGCTCGGCGACCTTCAACACCGCCCCATCAACCTCGACGGTGCAGGGCTGCGGGTGACCCGTCCGTGTAAGGGGGACACCAGGGTCGCATCGCAGCAAAGCGCGCCTCCGTGGGCAGTGGCCCCATAGACCACGAGGTCGGGGCGCCTGCGGTCGTCCGAGGGGACGTCTGGGGTGGTCGTGCGAGCGAGCCATTGTCGTGGCACGACCTGACCTTCGGCACCCACGGCTTCGCGGGCGACGCGTATACCCAGGCCCGCTCGAGAATCTTGGCACGTCTAGCCAGCAAACCCGTCCTGGGGCATGC